GGGCCTGCTTCCACCTGCCATAGAAGCAAATGTGAAAGCCGCAGTTTTAAACTTGGCACTGAAAATGGGTGTGGATGGGGTTGCCACTTCCCTGCGGGGGAGGATGCTAGCTGCACAGGGCCCCTTGGCTGCGGGGCCCCCATGGCCGCAGGTTTCACAGGCATGGACGAGCCGGCCCTGACGTGCAGCATCCATCCCAGCCACTTCAGGATTTATGCCGTATGCAGTATGGGTCCCAGACAGGTTGGAACAGCTGCCGGATCAGATATGCTGGTGGAGGAGACTGGGGAGAGGGTCCATGGACAATCTGGCCTGTTGACCAGCACCACATTATGGGCACATGCCATACCCCTGTAGGTCAGATCCAGGGGCAGCACTAGGGGCTGGTTAGCAGGGCTCTGTGGCTAGGGACAGACATTCAAAAAGTTGGAGCCTGAACTGATTCAACCGTTGCTGATTAGTCTAACTTGCCTAGGCTGAACTGGTTCGTAACCAGACAAACATGCTCTCTGCACTGAGGCAATGTGGGCACATGTCTGCAATTGCTCAGGCCAGGCACCGGGGGGCACTAGAGCAGCCCTCAGCTGCAAGGAAGCTGAGGGGAGGGGTGTGGCCAACTCAGGCTGAACTGACCAGAGACGGGATTAATTCCCCCTCCCTGTGCCACCAGCAGGGACCGGAGCCGGGTCTGTCTGGCACTCCCCCCTTGCTTCCTGCCCAGAATAGGCTCCCAGCTGTCCCCTCTGCTGGAGGCTAGAGGGAGGAGGAATAACCCCATCCCTGTCCGGCCATGCCTCCTCCCTGCCGCTGCAGCGGGAGGTGGCAGGGCCTTTATTGGGAGCAGCAGCCCCTGTCATACTGCGGGGGAGCGCGAGCCCCTTCCCGGTGAGGGGCTGGGCAGGACTGGCAGAGCTGCAGCCAGCTGCATGCAGCAGCGCTGGGGTTCTGAACAGGCCAGCACCCTACAAGCCCCCCACAGCATTGTACAGAGCAGCCCCTGCTAGGAAAGGGCTTGTGCTCCAAGAAGCCATGCCGGACTGCTGCCCCTCATGGTAAATTACTGGTTGCTGCTCCAGCTGCTGGGCGGGGCCGGGGTTGGCCCCTGCCACTATTCTGTGCTTGGGGCAAGCCCCTTTCTGGCAGGAGAGGGCTTATTCAGTCACTGGCATTGAAGTGTGGTTTGCCGGGCCAAGCTGCAGCTGCCACTGCTCTGTGCTGGGCCCAGTGGGTGAATAAGTCCCCTCTGGCTGGGATGTAGCTGGCCCCAGCATGCAGCAGCGGTGGCTGGAGCCCAGCCTAGCAAACCCCACTGCTGTGCGAGCTGTGTCTCCCTGCTCGTGGCAAGGCCCTCCTGGCCAGCGATTGAATAAGCCCCCTCCAGCTGGGAGGGGCTTGCTCCGAGCGGGGAGATGCCATGGGAGCTCCC